TTCTGGAGACTCACCAGTGTGGTCTTGGTTCTTAAATCAGGTATAATTTCTAACACAAATTCATAAAGCAGTAATCAGGTTTACCAGTAAGTCTCTTGTGAATTTTTTAGCATGAGTCAGGCTCCCCGTAGGCAAAAACATCCTATGTAATTTCTGCCTATGGAAAGTAAGGGTCCAGGCCCCAAAACCATGATGACTTCATCCCATGAGGCTCTTCCTGAGACAGCCAACTAATGTCTCTTGACAACTCTAGTTTTGCAAGAAAAACCATGTCTTTACAACACTCAGCTGTGACATGACAGGGCTTCTATCACAATGACATTTCCCTAAGTCATTTTTATCACAAGTGTCCATGGGCTTTCAGCTTCCTTTACATTAGTAATTCTTAAACTTCAGTGAGTTTAAGAATTCCCTTAAAGAAGAATATTTAAAATGCAGATTCAGAGACGCCACCCTCAAAGATTCAGATCCAAAAAGTCTGGAAGAGGGCCTAGAAATGTGCATTTTTTTCAATTACCCCAGATGATTCTGATGTGGTTGTATCTAAGAGTACGCTTTGAAACCATTCTTCAAACTGACACTAAAAATGGTGTCCATAAAGCATATGTGTTAATGGGCAAGTAATGTGGCCTCCATAATCTGAATTTAAATAGTAATTATAGACTCATTACAATTACAGTTTTAAAATTCAACTCAGAACATTGTAAGAGAGGGCCTGCTTAATCTCATCATTTTGCTCATGCATTCCCTTTTCTCATCCCCCACCCCAATCAAGAACATCCAACATGCTCTGCCACTCTGCATCGTAAGTCATTCAATTCTTCTAAGAAGCCTTTTCCAAAGTACTCAAATTCAAAACAGCTTTTTCTTATTTTTCTCATCTCTGGCGCTTAGTGCTGTTACAGAAATGATTCCATGTGAAGCCCTGGCTTGGGCTTGTAATCCCAGCACTTTGGAAGGCTGAGGTGGGTGAATCACTTAAGGTCAGGAGTTTGAGACCACCCTGGCCAACATGGTGAAACAGCGTATCTATCAAAAAACAGAAAAATTAGCCAGGTGTGGTGTTGCACCCCTTTAGTCTGACATACTCAGGAGGCTAAGGTGGGAGAATTCCTTGACCCTGGGAGGCGGAGTTTGACACAGTGAGGCCAAGATTGCCTCACTGCACTCCGGACTGGGTGACAGAGGGAGACCCTGTCTAAAAAATAATGTGGTACATTTGCATAAAAGTAATCTTATTGTCATTTTATTGTTATATCCAGTGTGGATATGACACAATGATATTTTTATTTTTTTAATTTTATTTTTCCATAAGTTATGGAAAACTTAAGAGATCAAGGTGGTAGTTATATCAGTAAGTTCTTTAGTGGAGATTTATGAGAACCTGGTGCACCCATCACCCTAGCAGTATACACTACACCGTGTTTGTTGTCTTTTATCCCTCACCTCCCCTCACTCTTCCCTCCAAGTCACCAAAGTCCATTGTATAATTCTTATGCCTTTGTGTCCTCATAGCTTAGTTCCCACATATCAGTGAGTACATACGATGTTTGGGTTTCCATTCCTGAGTTACCTCACTTAGAATAATAGTCTCTAATCTTGTCCAGGTCACTGCAAATGCTTTTAATTCATTCCTGTTTATGGCTGAGTAGTATTCCATCATATATATATACCAGAGTTTATCCACTCGTCAATTGATGGGCATTTGCGTTGGTTCCATAATTTTGCTATTGTGAATTGTGCTGCTATAAACGTGTGTGCAAGTATCTTTTTCAAATAATGACTACTTTTCCTCAGGGTAGATACCCAGTAGTAGGATTGCTGGATCAAATGGTAGTTCTACTTTTAGTTTTTTAAGGAATCTCCACACTGTTTTCCATAGTGGCTGTACGTACTAGTTATTTCCACCAGCAGTGTACAAGTTTTCCCAGATTGCCACCTCCACGCCAACATCTACTGTTTCCGGTTTTTTTTTTTTATTATGGCCATTCTTGCAGGAGTAAGGTGTCATCGCATTGTGGTTTGATTTCATTTCCCTGATCATTAGTGATGTTGAGCTTTTTTTCGTATGTTTGTTGGCCATTCATATATCTTCTTTTGAGAATTGTCTATTCATGTCCTTAGCCCACTTTTTGATGGGATTGATTTTTTTTTCTTACTGATTTGAGTTTGTTGTGGATTCCAGATATTACTCCTCTGTCAGATGTAGATTGTGAACATTTTCTCCCACTCTGTGGGTTGTCTATTTACTCTGCTGACTGTTCCTTTTGCCGTGTAAAAGCTCTTTAGTTTAACTAGATCCCAGCTATTTATCTTTGTTTTTATTGCAATTGCTTTTGGGGTTTTGGTCATAAAATCCTTGCTTAAGCCACTGTCTAGAAAGGTTTTCTCAAACGTTATCTTCTAGAATTTTTATAGTTTCAGGTCTCAGGTTTAAGTCCTTAATCCATGTTGAGTTGATATTTGTAACAATTCTAAAATTCATATGGAACCTAAAAAGAGCCATCTAGACAAAGAAAGACTAAGCAAAAAGAACAAATCTGGAGGCATCACACTATCTGATTGCAAACTATAAGGCCATAGTCACCAAAACAGTGTGATACTAGTATAAAAAATAGGCACATACACAAATGGAACAGAATAAAGAGCCCAGAAATAAACCTAAATACTTAGAGACAACTGATCTTCAACAAAGCAAACAAAACCATAAAGTGGGGAAAGGATTCCTTTTTCAACAAAGGTGCTAGGATAATTGTCATGCAGGAGAATGAAACTGGATCCTCATCTCTCACCTTATACAAAAATCAACTCAAGATTGATGATTTTTAAATCCACAAGATGGCTGGACACAACAGAAGTAAATCCTCTGCCTCCTTTGCGGGGGCAGAATGCATCCCAGTGATGATCTTGCTAATGTTTTCCCTCCTGCTACACTAAATTTATCTTACTCACATCAGTTATGCACTTGGTCTTAATATAAGCAAGGATAAAACCACAAAAAGATCCTATGTGACTAGAGGAAGTAGTGCAACATAAAAACCCCAGGCCTACAAGTTGTTGATACCAGTACTCTTAGGAGAAATTACAGAAAACCTCAATGTCTCTGATAAGACATGGAATATAACCATGTTGAGGGAGAACTTAACCTGTTACCTCAGAAACAGTGGCATGAAGACAAAACTGATGACAGCGACATCAGAAGCTCCACATTCTGAAGAAAGCTGTGGAAAGCTGATGGCCAGATACCCCCTCTATTGATTACTAGAAGATGCGAAATCAGTCCTGTGACGTCCCACCACCACATTGATCTCTCCAATCTCCAGGCCCTCCCCACCTCCTAATCTCAGAAGCAACAGACACTAAGGAGAGGAGGAGAGGTGAACAGCGTTACAGAGTGAGGAAGGGCTCCTGCTTTCACTCAATCCACTTGTTAGTTGACTTCCTAATTGTTTTTTGTGTCCTGAATGGTACTTGAAAACTCAATTGAGGAGTTACACAGAGATGCCATTGAAGAGCCAAGAGTTTGATTTCAAGATTCTCCATCTTTGCTGGTGTATCATGGCAATGACTAAATGTTAACTCCCAAAGCCTGAAATACAGCTTTCTTTAACATTGATTTTGTAACCAAACTATTTAAGTTATTTTTACCTTGCATCAATTCATTATTTTAAAACCCTGCCCTGATGTGGATTAGTCCTGGGAATCAAAATACCCTATTCAGTAAATTAACTTCAGGTCTGATGCCACCAATGCTACGCACTCCATTGAAAAGTAGAGCATTCCTCTTCCAAGATGTACATCAGAGCAATTCTGGAAGTTGATCCAACATGAACCCTCAGGTAAACGGGGAGAAGAATCTGAAATACCTCAAGAGAAGAGTAGAAAAGAACTCCCATATTTCTGCCTTGAGATATTAAACGGAGAATAAATATCCCAGATTTAGTAGACTGATGACTACTAATGGTGACTACTAAATGAGTCAAATGATGCATTTTCTATCATCTGTTAAATGAAAATGATGCTCCTAACCTTTCAGACATAGTGCCATTCTGTCATTGTCATTGTCATCCACACATGCTAAGATGAGAGCAAGACTCCATTTATTTCCAGAGCTGCTTTGGTGAAAGATGCTGTGATGCTTAATGTGATGTATACTGATATATCAATTCACAGTTGACTGTAATTGTCACAAAAATGTAAAACTTCAGACAATGTAAAATAGAGATGGATCTTGGCCATGAAATACAGAGGATCATCATTTATCTACTTCTCTGCCTTTCTACTGTTAGTAACTCAGTATGTGGACCTGTCTAAACCATACCTCGCTTCTATCCAGACCACCATCTGGATCATGCTTGACCAAATATGGCCCCTATCACATAAGAGAAAACCTCATTGGACTTTAAATAAAGTAGACTGGGTTGCTGGTGTAGTTTTGCTAGTTGTCAGCTAAGTGCCCTCCAGCACACAAATTTAAAACTTGCAAAGCCTCAGTTTCCCTATCTACAAAATTTGGACAATATTTTAACTCTCTGGATTATTGGGAAGTTTTAAATTTGAAAATATTTGTGAAAACACCTAGCACAGACATTACTGAGCACCGATGCTCAGTAATTCATCTTTTCAAAAATCTGTTAATAATGGTATCTTTCTAAGTTATCCTCTTTGTTATTCTTTTTCCTTCTCTGCTACCTGCTGTGGCTGTGACAAAGTTTCCAAGTACAAATGAAGTGACCCTCGTCAGGCAATAAAGAAACAAATCCTCGAACAGCTATTTCCTGTCTGACAGTTGGTATGCATATGCTTCACTGACTTTACTGTTTTGCCATGAAACCTTCATCATAAGTGTCATTTGGCCTTAACTTTGCAATGAGGTAATTATAGTGCCAGGCTTATTAAAAACAGACTCTATCACAGGAGACTTTGACAGATGTTGGTTGAAGTTCTAACTTGACAAGCAAGTGGGATGAGCAAGTGCATGCAGAGCTAAAGACATTATATTGCAAATGCTGTTTATTTTCTGTCAACTATAAACTATGCAGTAAATAACACATTATAAAAGAGATCCAGAAATAACATTAAGCTAAAATGGAACCATCAATTATTCCCTCTTCTTTAGCTTTCAGAAGAATTTTTTTCCCTTCACTATTGGTACTTTTTCCTTTATTCGTTAATTGCTTTTCTTCTTGACTCCCCTGTTCTGCTCCAGTGCCTATAAATCATGGTAAAAAAGATAAAATGTTACTATTAAGAAACGAGTGTAAAAATGGTATTTAAATAAATTTGCTTTTGCCATCCAGCCAACTTTCTCTAACCTCTAAGTGAAAGTTTAAAGCTGCTGCTGTGAATGTTGTAAACTCTTTTGCACAAGTGCATGTATTTTTTTTTATTATACTTTAAGTTCTGGCATACATATGCAGAATATGGGAGTGTAAATTAGTTCAACCATTGTGGAAGACAGTGTGCCAATTCCTCAAGGATCTAGAAATAGAAATACCATTTGACCCAGCAATCCCATTACTGGGTATATACACAAAGGATTATAAATCATTCTATTACAAAGACACTTGTACATGTATGTTTGTTGCGGCACTATTCATAAGTGCATGTATTTTTCGCACACAACTCTCGGCACTGAGTACAGTTCAAAATTTAAGCAGTCTCTTTACAGTGAGTTTTGAGGTGTAAATTTAAAATATACTATTACAGGAAGTTCCAAGTTGTACTGTAAGGAGGAACTTTGAAATCCATTTGCCTGTGGTGTTAAATCACAAAGGATTCTGAATTAGCTACTTATGACAGCAAAATGATAATGAAGGGAGCAAATAGGGAGGAGAAGAGGAAGAAAAGAATAGGTGAAAATCTATGTCTGACCTTACTCAGTTCCATGCCTACACCCATGCCTTAAAAAGATATTCCAGTTATAACAGTTCCTTTCCCAGTGTGAAGATTCAGGATTCTCCTCTAAATCAATAAGCAGTTACCAAACATCTATCCCATGTCCATCATTATGGTAAACATTGCTTTTATACATGAGTCAAACATTTGGGGTACCTAATATCTGTCAGATATTGGGGATCTAATTATGAATGAGACGGAAATTACCCTCAAGGAGCTTATAATTTGTTTCTGTGTTCTTAAATATGCAGGTTTAATTCTGAAAGTTTTTTTAGCTTCTTCAGAAAAATGCCCATTGATTATCCCTATTGTTACCACTACAGAACCTCTCTGTTATACAGTCTTTGAGGAGTATACCATTGTTATAGGTAAAACAATGTGGGCATAGGAAACTTCAGTTGCTTCCCATTAAACACACCCATATATGTGGGTCAAAGCAAAGAATTGATAAAATTGAGTAAAGTGGAAAGGAGGAAAGGTGTCCGTTCATATCCTTTGCCCACTTTTTTATGGGGCTGTTTTTTTCTTGTAAATTTAAGTTCTTTGTAGATTCTGGATATTAGCCCTTTGTCAGATGGGTAGATTGCAAAAAATTTTTCCGATTCTGTTGGTTGCTGGTTCACTGTAGTGAAGGTTTCCTTTGTTGTGCAGAAGCTCTTAAGTTTAGATCCCATATGTCTATTTTGGGTTTTGTTGCCATTGCTTTTGGTGTTTTAGTCATGAAGTCTTTGCCCATTCCTATGATCTGAATGGTACTGCCTAGGTTTTCCTATAGGGTTTATATGGTATTAAGTCTTATGTTTAAATCTTTAATCCATCTGGAGTTAATTTTTGTAGAAAATGTAAGGAAGGGGTCTAGTATCAATTCTCTGCATATGACTAGCCAGTTTTCCCAACACCATTTATTAAATAGGGAATCTTTTCCCCATTGCTTGTTTTTGTCAGGTTTGTCAAAGATCAGATAGTTGTAGGTGTGTGGTGTTATTTCTGAGGCCACTGTTCTGTTCCATTGGTGTATGTCTCTGTTTTGGTATCAGCAATATGCTGTTTTGATTACTGTAGCTTTGTAGTATAGTTTGAAGTCAGGTAGAGTGATGCCTCCAGCTTTCTGTTTTTGTTGTTTTTTTTTTTTTGGTTTGTTTGTTTTTGTTTTGCTTAGGATTGTCTTGGCTATGCGGGCTCTTTTTTGGTTCTATGTGAAGTTTAAGGTGGTTTTTTCCAATTCTGTGAAGAAAGTCTGTGGTAGCTTAATGGGAAAACATTGAATCTATAAATTACTTTGAGTGGTATGGCCATTTTCACAATATTGATTCTCGCTAACCATGAGCATAGAATGTTTTTCCATCTGTTTGTATCCTCTTATTTCCTTGAGCAGTGGTTTGTAGTTCTCCTTGGAGAGGTCCTTCACATCCCTTATTAGTTGTATTCCTGGGTATTTTATTCTCTTAGTAGCAATTGTTAATGGGAGTTCACTCATTATTTGACTTTGTCTCTTACTGATATATAGGAATCCTTGTGATTTCTCCACATTGATTTTGTATCCTAAGGCTTTGCTGAAGTTGCTTATCAGGTTAAGGAGATTTTGGGCCAAGAAAATTGGGTCTTCTAAATATACAATCATGTCATCTGCAAATAGAGATAATTCCTCTTTTCCTAAATGAATACTCTTTATTTCTTTTTCTTGCCTGATTACTCTGGCCAGAACTTCCAATACTATGATGAATAGGAGTGGTGAGAGAGGGCATATTTGTCTTGTGCCAGTTTTCAAAGGGGATGCTTCCAGGTTTTGCCCATTTAGCATGATATTGGCTGTGGGTTTGAAATAAATAGCTTTTATTATTTTGAGATACGTTCCATCAATACCTAGTTTATTGAGAATTTTTAGCATAAAAGGCTGCTGAATTTTGTCAATTCAAAAAGGCCTTCTCTGCATCTATTGAAATAATCGTGTGGTTTTTGTCTTTGGTTCCTTTTATGTGATGGATTACATTTATAGATTTGCATATGTTGAACCAACCTTGCAACCCAGGGATGAAGCAGACTTGATCGTGCTGGATAAGCTTTTTGGTGTGCTGTTGGATTCAGTTTCCCAACATTTTAATAAGGATTTTTGCATCAGTGTTCATCGTGGATATTGGCCTGAAATTTTATTTTTTAGTTGTGTCTTTGCCAGATTTTGGTATCAGGATAATGTCTGTCTGATCAAATGAGTTAGGGAGAATTTCCTCTTTTTGTATTGTTTGGAATAGTTTCTGAACGAATAGTACCAGCTCCTCTTTGTACACCTGGTAGAATTTGGCTGTGAACCCATCTGGTCCTGGACTTTTTTAAGTTTCTAGGCTATTAATTGGTGCCTCAATTTTAACCCTTGTTATTGGTCTAATCAGAGATTCAACTTCTTCCTGGTTTAGTCTTGGGACTGTGTAAGTGTGCAGGAATTTATCCATTGCTTCTACATTTACTGGTTTATTTGCATAGAAGTATTTGTAGTATTCGCTGATGGTAGTTTGTATTTCTGTGGGATCAGTGTTGATATCCCCTTTATCGTTTTTTATTACATCTATTTGATTCTTCTCTCTTTTCCTTTTTATTGGTCTGGCTAGTGCTCTGTTTTGTTGATCTTTTCAAAAACAGCTCCTCGATTCACTGATTTTTTTTTTTGAAGGGTTTTTTGTGTCTCTGTCTCCTTCAGTTCTGCTCTGATCTTAATTATATTTTGTCTTCTGCTAGCTTTTGAATTCGTTTGATATTGCTCCTCTAGTTCTTTTGATCGTGACATTTGGGCATCAATTTTAGGTCTTTCCTCATTTCTCTTATGGGCATTTAGTGCTATAAGTTTCCCTCTAGATACTGCTTTAAATGTGTCTCAGAGATTCTGGTACATTGTGTCTTCATTCTCATTTGTTTCAAAGAACATCTTTCTTTCTGCCTTCATTTCATTATTTATCCAATCGTCATTCAGGAGCAGGTTGTTCAGTTTCCATGTTGTTATGCAGTTTTGAGTGAGTTTCTTAATCCTGAGTTCTAATTTGATTGCACTGTGGTCTGAGAGACTGTTAGCAAATACAAAAGAATGGAAATCCTGAGGAGTGATTTACTTCCAATTATGTGGTCAATTTTAGAATCAGTGTCATGTGGTGCTGAGAACAATGTATATTCTGTTGATTTGAGGTGGAGACTTGTATACATGTCTAGTAGGGTCCACTTGTTCCAGATCCGAGTTCAAGTCCTGGATATCCTTTTTAATTTTCTGCTTCACTGATTTGTCTAATATTGACAGTGGGCTGTTAAAGTCTCCCACTATTATTGTGTGAGAGTCTAAGTCTCTTTGTAGGTTATTAAGAACTTGCTTTATGTTTCTGGGTGCTCCTGCATTGGGTGCATATATATTTGGGATAGTTAGCTCTTCTTGTTGCATTGATCCCTTTATCGTTATGTAATGCCCTTCTTTGTCTCTTTTGATCTTTGTTGGTTTAAAGTCTGTTTCATCAGAGACTAGAACTGCAACCCCTTTTTTTTTTGGTCTCCATTTGCTTAGTAAATCTTCCTCCATCCCTTTATTTTGAGCCTATGTGTGTCTTTGCATGTGAGATGGATCTCCTGAATATAACACACCAAAAGTTCTTGACTCTTTATCCAATTTGCCAGTCTGCATCTTTGGATTGGGACATTTAGCCAATTTACATTTAAGGTTAATATTGTTATGTTTGAATTTGATCCTGCCATTTTGATGCTAACTGGTTTTTTACATGTTAGTTGATGCAGTTTTTTCATAGTATCAATGGTCTTTACAATTTGGTATGTTTTTGCAGTGGCTGGTACTGGTTATTCCTTTCCATGTTTAGTGCTTCCTTCAGGAGCTCTTGTAAAGCAGGCCTGGTCATGACAAAATCTCTCAGCAGTTGCTTGTCTGTAAAGGATTTTATTTCTCCGTCACTTACGCAGTTAAGTTTGACTGGTTATAAAATTCTGAGTTGAAAGTTCTTTTTTTTTTTTTTTAAGGATGTTAATATGGGCCCCACTCTCTTCTGGCGTATAGGGTGTCTCCTGAGAGATCTGCTGTGACTCTGACAGGCTTCCCTTTATGGGTAACCCAACCTTTCTCTCTGGCTGCCCTTAGCATTTTTCCCTTCATTTCAACCTTGGTGAATCTGTCAGTTATGTGTCTTGGGGTTGCTCTTCTCGAGGAATATCTTTGTGGTATTCTCTGTATTTCCTCAATTTGAATGTTGGCCTGCCTTCCAACATTCTCCCAGATAATATCCTGAAGAATGTTTTCCAACTTGGTGTCATTCTCCCTGTCACTTTCAGGTACACCAATCAGACATAGATTTCATCTTTTCACATAATCCCATATTTCTTGGAGGCTTTGTTCATTTCTTCTCACTCTTTTTTCTCTAATCTTGCCTTCTGTCTTTATTTCATAGAGTTGATCTTTAATCTCTGATATCCTTTCTTCTGCTTAATAATTGGGCTCTTGAAACTTGTGTATGCTTCACAATGTTCTCATGCTGAGTTTTACAGCTCCATCAAGTCATTTAGTTCTTCTCTACACTGGTTATTCTAGTTAACCTTTCGTCTAACCTTTTATCAAGGTTCTGAACTTCCTTGCATTGGGTTAGAACATACTCCTTTACTTCGTGGAAGTTTGTTATTATCCACTTTCTGAGCCAGCTTCTGTCAATTTGTCAAACTCATTCTCCATTCAGTTTTGTTCCCTTGCTGGTCAGGAATTGTAATCCCTGGGAGGAGAAGAGGCATTCTGGTTTTTGGAGATTTCAGCCTTTTTGCACTGGTTTCTTCCTATCTTCATGGATTTATCTACCTTTGGTCTTTGAAGTTGGTGATCTGTGGATGGGGGTCTCTGAGTGGATGTCTTTGCTGTTGACGTTGAAACTATTTCTTTGTTTGTTAGTGTTTCTTCTAACAGGGCCCTCTGCTGCAGGTCTGTTGGAGTTTGCTGAAGGTCCACTCCAGACCTTCCTTGCCTGGGAATCACCCATGGGGGCTGCTGAACAGCAGATTGCTGCCTTTTTTTTTTTCCTCTGATAGCTTCATCCCAGAAGGGTACCCACCAGATGCCAGCCAGAGTTCTACATGAGGTATCTCCCAGTCAGGATACACGAAGGTCAGGGAGACACTTGGGGAGGCAGTCTGTCCCTTATCAGAGCTTGAATATTGTGCTGGGAGATCCATTGCTCCCTTCAGAGCTGCTGGGCAAGGACATTTAAGTCTGCTGAAGCTGAACCCACAACCGCCCCTTTTTTTCCCAGGTACTCTGTCCCAGGAAGTTAGTTGGGGGCTCTATTTATAAGTCCCTGACAGGCTGCTTCCCTTTTTGAGAGATACCCTGCACAACAAGAAGGGAGTCCTGCGACACAGTCTGCCTGAAGATGCCTTGCTGTGCTCCCATGGCCTCCACCCAGTAGCTGTGTAAACCTCCCAGCAACTATGTTTACACAGGCAAAGTTAAAACCTCCTACCCAAACCTCAGCAATGGTAGATGCCCCTCCCCAAATGGAGCTTGAATGTCTCAGGTCGAGCTCAGACTGCTTTGCTGGCTATGAGAATTTCAAGCCAGTGGATCATAGCTTGCTGGTCTTCCTGGGGGTGGGACCCTCCGAGCCAGATCACTTGGCTCCCTGGCTTCAGCCCCCTTTTTCAGGGGAATGAGCAGTTCTGTCTCACTGGTGTTCCAGGCACCACTGGGATATGAAGGGAAAAAAAATGCTGCAGCTAAAATGGCCACCCAGTTTTCTGCTGGAAACCCAGGGCACTGGTGGTATAGGCCCCAGGGGGAATCTCCTGGTTTGCAGGTTGTGAAAACCTTGGTAAAAGCACAGTATCTGAGCCAGAGTGTCAGGAAAAGTCCCTAATGGCTTCCCTTGGCTAGGCGAGGGAGTTCTCCAGGCCCTTGAGCTTCTCAGGTGAAGCAACACCCCACCCTGCTTCGGCTCCCTGTCCTTGGGCTGCACCCAGTGTCTAACCAGTCCAAATGAGATGAACCAGGTAACTCAGTTGGAAATGCAGAGATCACCTGCCTTGTGCATTGTGCTTGATGGGAAATGCGTACTGGAGCTGTTTCTGTTCGGCCATCGTGCTGAAAAATCCCCATGTTACCATTTCTTTAAATTCTCTAAAAACCACCAAATAAAATGTTGATAGCTTCAATTAAATATTCTGCTATAAGGAAATTAGGCATTATTTTGAGCATTATTATACAGCAGCTGTTTCTGTTCTTCACAGAAAATCTCTACCTGGTATTTAAGACACAGGCAGCAGTCACTGAGTGTTCTCCATTCTTAGAAGCATCTTAAAGCAACCACTTCTCTAGAATGTACACATTTATGCTTGTTGACTTAGCCACTTTTCTAGCAGCATATTTTGGCACATACCTCTCTCCCTCATCTTAGAATATACATTTCTTTAGAACACATATTGGTGATGTGGAAAGAAAACATGGACAATCAATTTCAGAAAGACTTGTTCAATGATATCACTATGTATTTTTTCATTCAGGATGCTTTGGTTTCCCCAACTATAAAATCAGAATAAGGATATTATCTTCCGCCTTGGTGCATTGTAAGGAATAAAGAGCTTGGCACTATGCCTGGCATCATGGTTCCTATAATTACTACTATTGGTTTTTTTGATATAGTGATATATCTACTGATACTGTAACTGATACGTACATATTAGTATGTAACTAGACAGAGGCAGAATTTGTGCAAGGAAATAGGGCTTTCAAGATGGTAATTTTTTTAAATCGAAAATTGTCTTTCAGGCCTAAGAACATTTAAAAATCTGGAAATAATCACTGCATATTCTTCCCAGTCTCTAAGATATAGAATCCCACCCGTGTGCCCCAGAGTTCCCCTGGCAGCCCCTTCTCAGGTCAACCTAGTCATCCTTCAAGGTCTTTGTTTCCATAGTATTTTGGCATACCTCCATGAGAGCACTCTCCATATAATGCTGATGATTTCTTCCTGTAGAAATCTCCGCCACCGAAATGTCATCTTCCAAAAACTGACTTTATCTATCCCTGAGACCTGTGGTCCTAACATAGTGCCTTGATCCAAAGTTTGAAGGAGTAAAGGAAAGAAAGCTGAGAAAAGGGCTAGAGAGAAGAGACAAAATGTGCACAATCAAATCTCCATGTTTCTAGGTTCTCTTCTCAGGTAATTTTTTTTTGTGGATTTCCAGAGCCTCCTGTGGACTTCTTTGGCTCTCTGCTCTGGTCTGAGTCTATACCCTCAAAGACAATGATGTTACTGGCTTAACAAGAAAGATCCACAAGGCCACAAGAGAAATGGTAAGAAGGAAAAGCCTTCATGTAAATATCCAGACATTAACCCTCTGCATATGGCAAGAATTTTAAGAAATATTAATATTCTTTTTAAATAATTCCTAGTTATTTGCTACTTACCTAAACTCAAGTCACTGCATTCATTTGAAAAAGATGTGTTTAGCATCTCCTATGTGCCAAGCCTTCCTTTCGGTTCTGGAGCCTGCCTTTATGATGCTTACATTCCCAAGGGCAGGGATAGAGGGAAAAAAAAAAATCCTCCATAAGTAAATCATCAGGGATCCAAGAAGCTGACAGGTGTCGGGGGTAGTGTGTGAATTCAACAGAGAGGTTGAAGGAATTAGGAGTCCTGGGTTCGGTTTTAACTGGGCTGCCCAGGGTAGGTGAATGATGATAGCGTGATATTTGTACAAAGGACACACAAGTAGCTTTCAGGGTGTATTAGCAAGGGTTCTCTAGAGGGACAGAACTAAGAGGATAGATGTCTAGATAAAGGGAAGTTTATTAAGGAGTATTGACTCACATGATCACAAGGTGAGTTTCCACAATAGGCTGTCTGCAAGCTGAGGAACAAGAAAGCCAGTCCGTGTCCCACAGTTGAAGAACTTGGAGTTTGATGTCAGAGGCAGGAGCATCCAGCACAGGAGAAAGATGTAGGCCAGAATACTAAACCAGTCCAGTCTTTTCGCGTTCTTCTGCCTGCTTTTATTCTGGCTGTGCTCAAAGCTGATTAGATTGTGTCCAACCAGAGTAAGTGTGAGTCTGCCTTTCCCTGTCCACTGACTCAAATGTTAATCTCCTTTGGCAGCGCCCACACAGACACACCCAGGAACAAATTCTTTGCATCCTTCAATCCAATCAAAATGACACTCAATATTAACCATCACACAGGGCATGTTCCACACAGAAGAAAAAGCCAATGAATATGCATCTGGCATTTCTGAAGTTCAGCAAGGAGGCCAGTGTGAATCGAGCAGAGTGTACTGGCAGGGAATGGGGAAGGGGTTAGATGAACTCAGACCATATGACGGAGGAGTGACAGATCAGGCATAGCCCTGTAGCCACTGCAACAACTATGATTTTATTCTGAGTCTCATGGAGACCCACTGGAGAGTTTGCCTCGACTTACCTTTCTCTTCCTGCAAGCAGCTGCCTGGAGTTGCCATCTTCTTCCCCACTGGACAATTGGGATTTTTGCAGCTAGCGGTCCTGGTCTTGATCATTTAGATCTTTTACTAAAAGGGGCAATGTCAGTTTACTGTCAAGTATTCTTCCCTTAGACCTGGAACCTGGGCCCCGGTCCTGGGTCTCACATTTAAGAGGGCCCACCCTGATGGCCGTTTCCAGGCTATATTTCTCCCCATGCGGTGAAGAGTCTAAGAGATCAAGGAATTTTCCCACCTAGACCTGCCTGCCTCTTTACAGACCACAGTTCAATACCCAGGATCTTTCTGCCTCAAGGGAAGACTCCCATTCCCAGGGCCTGTACAACCCCCTTTTCCTGGCGTGTCATCCCTGACCAGGGCATGCTCTCTCAGTGTGCTCTCTAAACCAAGATGGCCAGGGGCTGGCTGTTTACAGAGGGAGATAGAGCTTGGACTTCCAGGCTGTTGGGGTGACAAAGGTTCTATAGACCTTGATCTATGCAATTGACTGGAGGCCCCCTGAAGTGTAGACGGAGCCAGAGTGGGTGGGCTGGAAGCCAGTGCCCTATTTTCACTTCAACCCCAGTCTTACAAGTATCCAGGCAGCCTAAGTATCAAAGCCCTTCAAATGATAAGCCAGAATACTAAAACTCCCCTGCCAAAAGTAAAACTCTCCTCTCGACCTAGTTCTAACTGTACCCACTGTTGCACTCTGCAGTTCTATTTTCCCTGCTCCCCTGGCTTATTCACTTTATCAAAATGGATTTCCAGATCAGATGGAGATATAAATTTCCAGTGTCACCTAAGCATACACCTCTCATGGGTCCCCTGTTCCCAGGCTGCCAGCCTTGTATGAGATAAGTGTCACCCGATCACCCACTAGCCTCTCTTTTCAGCCACAGGTCATCAGGCACACCATGGAAATTGATTATTCTACTCACTTCGGCTGGGAGGCAATAACTGTCCATCAAAATGGCTATTGCCAGCAGCAATCACTTTTTAAAGGGACTAAGCACTTCTGAACAATTTTAACTTGAACATATTTCCAAGAGTTAAATAGTAGCTTTTTCCATAAGAGTACTTCTTCTTAGGAGTGCTTTCAAATCTATTATCTCCTTTTATTATCTTAACATCTCTGTGAAGCAGGTAAAGTAGCTTGAAGGAAAAGAATCCCAGAGAGAGTGAAGGTTTTGACTGTGGCCACTTCCACAGGTAGTATTCCTACTAAGTCTAAATCTCAATCCAGACCAGGCTCTCATGGCCTTTCCAGTACCCCATGCAAATTCTGACCCCTCCCTAGTCAGACACCCTGAATTTTTCGGACATTGCCAGGTCTCAATATCTCTTCCTTCCTGGATCTGCCATATTAGTGTCACCTACCTTACCATGAAATAAATATGAGGCTATATGTTGTCCTCTTGAAACTTGATTGCCTTCTCATTCACCTGACTAATGTTTACTGAGTGCCTGTTTTATCCTGGGCACTGTGCCAGGGGTACATAAAATAGCCTCCCTGGTGTCATGGCGCTTCCATTCTAGGGGAGAGGAACAGTCAGTAAAGTAGATTATTATGTGTATAAATAAACAAGAGCACAGTGGACACCGTCTCTGCTTGTTCATATGAGCTGTGCACTTACCATTCTCATGCGTGCCAGTCCTACTGCTTCCACCTGTAAGCACCCATGACTTTCCCAATACTCTCTGTGGTGAACCTGGTCCTCACACAGGACAGGCCCACTTGAAGTGCTGAGGCCTTGATAGTCTCAGCAACAGCCCTCAATCAATAACCAATTCAAGTTAGTGGATAAATACCCCAGTTCCCTCACCTTTCAGGTGGGACAACTTTGAAGCAAAGTCTTCTACTCTGTCACCCAGAGTTCTCAGTGGCAATGGCCCCAATTTCCCATAGCAAGCACCCTGCATTGGCTTCCATTGCTTCCCATACTTACTTCTACACTCTTCCATGTTCTTTGTAAGATCACCTCCAAGAAAACTACTTAGGCTCAAATCCTTGTCTGGGGGCATTACAGATAGTAATAAATATTATGACAAATAAATTAGTATAATAATAAACATAGAGACTGAGAGAAGAAAAGGCAATATTAGATTGTTTGAGGAGGGCTAAAGAATAAGGTGATGCTTGAGCTGGGGTGATGGCTGAGCTGAGACTTGAATGATGAAGAACCTGCTGGTGGAAACTGGGAATCTGAGGGGCAAGTATTCCAAGGAGAAAGAACTGCAGGTGGGAAGATCCTGAGGCTAGAGGAAGTGTGGGGTGCTTGAAGAATAGCAAGAAGGCCAGAGTGGCAGGAGCAGATGCGGTCAGGAAAGCAAGAAGGAGCTGGTTCCAGAGGACCTGGGGGGCACACTAAGGATTTCTAAATTTCACACTGAGCGCAATGGGAAGCTGTGGAACAGCCCAATCCACAGAGTGACATAATTCAGCCTGCTTTTTGGAAAGGTCATTACCCACTGTTGTTAGATCCTGTGCCCTCCACTTGAGCACCACGTAGCACACAAAGCCAGTCCCTTTGGATGGTTGGCTTAGATCACATAGGAAGGGCAGTTAGAATGAACTTCAGGAAGAAAAAGTAAAAGAAAAAGCGATCCAAGAGTTTTCCTATGGTTAACAGGGAACTTCCCAAGTCTGTAGTTCCACACTCCCCAGATCAAAAATGTGTTTGAGAAGCCTGTTGTGACAAAACTCATGGGAAGTCCACCTAAATCTGTCTTGAGTAGAAATGTGCTGCAAGAGCTCTGCATCACATATGAAAGTTTAGAGAATTCATTCATTTCCTTGATAAATCATTTTGAATTAAAAAGAAAAATGAAGGTCAATATATCTGACCATCTGGCCCCTGATCTCAAAAGATCATTGCTTTTAAGTACTCACTGCTATTAATGGTGCTGTACTAATGCATATTCCTCCTGATAAAAACTGCTTTGCCACTTTGTTACTTAATGCAGATGCTGTAGAAGCAAAGGTTAGAATCTTGCACCTTCTAGGGCAAAAAGATGAGGCTAGTTAGGCTGATGCTTGACAAGCAGTCAGAATAAATTAATTTCCCCTCTCTGAAATGTTTTTGTCAGCTTCTTGGGGTCAGTCACTTTTAGCTCAGCTAATGCTGCCAAGAGTAGAATATAAGATGAGAGACGCAGAGTTTACTTCATATCAGTGCTTTGAGCTAAAGCACCTGATGCCTATTCATACAGTGCCTGCCAGTCCATTACCCTGCCCTCAAAGGCTCATTCTGTTGTTCACAGGAATTACTTACTGGGAGGCAGATAATCTTGGGGAAGAACACATTTATAAATTCCTTAATCCATGTGCTCTTTGAAAGAATTATATAAAGAAAATGTCTCTCAAAATTAAGAAAAAATTGTTTCCACATTTGTAAAAGGGAGACTTTGTTTAAAAGAATGGAAAATAGCAGTTTTATCCACTTTTAATTCTGAATATTGTCAGAAAAAAATTTATATCACCAAAAGCATCACTCATTCAGTTTTTCTTTTTGTTTTTTGGTAATTTCAGCTCTCACAGAATTATCCACTGCAATTTGAAAATGGTATTACAAGGTAGTGATGGAAAGTAGCACACACCTAAAACCTAGGAAGCAGTATATTTTGCTGGAGAGTGACGCTAGTGTGTGTGTGACATACTCAGGTATGACGATTATAACCAGTGCTATAACAAGGAAGAGTTATCATGAGCCCTCCTACAGTCACAATTATTGTGGGGAGATTACTACAACTTTGTAACATAATTTGAAATTAGAAAGTGTGATGCCTCCCATTTTGTTCTTTCTCAAGAGTGCTTTGGCTATTAGAGGTCTCCTGTGGTTCCATGCTAATTGTAGAAAAGCTTTTTCAATTTCTGTGAAAAATACCATGGAATTCTGATAGAGAATCCATTGCCCTGAATCTATAAATTGTTGGGGGTAGTATGGACATTTTTAACAACATTAATTCTTCCAATCTGTGAATGCAGGGTATTTCTCCATTGATCTGTGGCGTCTTCAACTTCTTTCCTCAGTATTTTAATGCTACTGTAAATGAGATCATGGTCTTGATTTTGTTTTTGTGTAAATTTTTACTGGTATAAAGAAGACAACTGATTGGTTTTATAACCTGGATTATTATTAAATTTACTTATTCTAATAGCCTTCTGTTCAACTGCTTCTTTATGTATTTGCTATATTGGTAGTGTCTTTGTTTTTCTACATGTGGAACTATCTCACATGCAACCAGGGATGTTTTTATTTCTTCCTCTCCTATTCAGATGCCTTTTACTCCTTTCTCTTGTCTG